TTTCCACAAATACTCCAAAACTAATGGAGTCTTCATTCGTGTATTTAAACCGAAAGTATTGTAATCTCGGAAACAAAATCACATTTCTATCGCCACTTAATACACGCGATAATTGAGTGTTATTACAGGTAATGTCAATAAGTGTTAAGTTCACGAAATTCTTAATGTTTTCAATTAAATAATTATTAACAGGACTTCGATGTGTGGACTCAATTCGTCAGTTGACAAAACGTTTGAAGCGCTATTTGAATAGGGTTCAGGACTGTGAATATAGCTAGCGGCTTAGGTATGCTTACCGAAAGTTTACTGACGTTACAGAACATTAGCTCTGTTTGTAGTTCAGATTGAGTTTATTTGCCGTCAATTCAAGTCGTGTTATGTTTTGACACTTCTTTAGCACTGAATCCAATGTTTTTGGTGTAAAACTGCTGTCAATTTGCAACACATTTTGTGACTTATATACGACTCTCTGCCACTGTTTGGACACACATTCACATCGGTTGGCCAGAAGCTCACTGTCTATTCTGTTATTCACAACTGTGTTTAGTAGCGGGTTAGCCAGGTTTCTCAGAAAGCCTATCTGAAAAACACGTAAGTAACATACTGATGAAGAACGCCAGTAAGGAGAGTGGTGAATACTCTGTTATGATTGCAATCCATTGACGACTTGTTTCACTAAAACCTGAATAAAAATAATGAAAACATAATTAAACACTAATTAAACAGTAATTCATTGAAATAAAGCCAATAATAATGAATAGTTTCATGACTTACCGATACTATTGTGGTGACACTCAGACTACCGGTGCTGTGGATGGTGTCTATTGTGGTGACACTGAGACTACCGGTGCTGTGATGGTGTCTATTGTGGTGACACACTCTCAACGGGTGTTTCACTTGTATTCACACAATAACTATCACTTCATATGAATAGCAAACCAATGATTGAATGAAACGTTTGATTAGTAAATGACACGAAATGTAAACACTGTTTGCAAACCCATTGTCACACATGTGGTGATTGGCCCACAAAACAGGTTTGAAAATAAAGTGACACCACTTGCGGTACATTTGAATTTGAAACTATGTTTTTATTTATAATTTATAATAAGTTATAGTCTATAATTTAAAGTTATACTAAATTAAAAATAAAAATGTGTTTGTTAATCATTATACTCAATAAACTCTAAAATATACAAAATTACACAATGATATATCAAATATTTCATATATTTTAAGTACAGTAATATATTCTTATAATAAAATTGTCATTAGATCAAATAATTACAATTTCTATACTAATATTTAGCCAATAATTTGAATGTTCATTATATTAGGATTATTTTTATACAAATCCTCTAATATCTGGTAATTATATTTAGAGACACCTCTGAGTCTAATGTATTGAATATTCTTGAGTCTCGGCAATGACTTCAACACAGCATTTGTAATGAAAATGTTTTCCACATTTAAGTACAAAAGTTTGGGAAACTGTTGCGAAAAGTTTGCCAAACATTTGATAAAGAATTTTGACTCATATGTGATATAATTAGTGAAATCATTGACATCTAAATACAGCGTTAAATGTGTGATACGTTTGCACTCATTACCAGAATTATTAGGTTTTCAATTATAAAACATTGCAATCATTTGAAAGCCATTCGTATGGATTCAGTGATCGATATACCGGTAAGTGTCAGGACTTGGGATCAGTTTATCGAGAAGTTTGCCAAACAGTTGACTGCAATTGAAACCCGATGTCGAGATTCTGTGAATAATTATTTTATTGAAAACATTAAGAATTTCGTGAATTTAACACACTTTGAGATTATTGGTAATAGTAATCAGTTATCGCGTGTATTAATTGGCGATAGAAATGTGAGTTTGTTTCCGAAATTACAATACTTTTGGTTTAAATATTGAAGACATGAATAGTTTTCGAGTATTTGTGCGAAACTATGCAAAGAGTTTGAAATCAATTTCAGTGACAATCGATTGGAGTTGTGATGAGAAGAGTATTGAAGTACTGATGACTGGTTTGTCACAAATGCGAGCATTAATTGATCTGAAGATCTCTTCCTTTTCAAACTCATTGACTGTCAAACAATTCAAACAAATTGGCATTAATTGTGTGAAACTCAAGAAATTGTCATTTAATGCCCTAAAAAAAGACATTAACGATGAAACAGCTCTACATTTATTGCAAACAATTAACGATAACTTCAATCATTTGAAACGTCTGTATGTGAGCGGACTGTTTGTCAATGCGATGTCGGTTACGAGTAAATCGTTTCAACGCTGCAAACGATACACACATTTGTTACTCTATTCTGACAAAAACTTTATGACAGAAGACTTGTTGGCAAATATCGACAAATTATTTCCGAGACTTCAATACATATTTGTGAAATATATTAAGATAACGGACAGTCTATTGAAATCATTGGCAAAACTGCCGAAAATACAATACATTACACTCATCGGCAATAACTGTATCAATGAATTGGTTCCGAAAAATATTTTTACGAATTGTCCGCATATTAAACGTGTGAACATTTACCCATAAAACGTACAAACTTTTGTTCGAAAATACAATACATTACACTCATCGGCAATAACTGTATCAATGAATTGGTTCCGAAAAATATTTTTACGAATTGTCCGCATATTAAACGTGTGAACATTTACCCATAAAACGCACAAACTTTTGTATGCGTGAAAACTTTAAACCTATCACTTTGTGTAGGCAAACAAATTATCATTTCATTAATACACTTCATGTGAACATTTAATTAAATTCAAATCGCTATGAATTATTATTTTTTAATACCTTATACGTTTTGTGCAACTTTTTTAATGCTACAGTAATATACTGTACATTAAATTTTATTATTGTAATCAAACTTAAATACTTGAGAATTTGAGAAAGCAATAATTTAAATGATTTGTATTAAATTTTATAACTTTACAAATAAAATATGTCAAAACTAGCATTCCGTGAACACATTACTCAAAAACAAGTTTAAATAGTCAAAATACAGTATACCCCGGTACGATGTTATATGTCATGTGATTTGCATACCTAATTTACGGGCCAATCACCACATGTGTGACAATGTGTTTGAAAACGTGTTCAGATTTATGCCATTTAGTGTTTAAATCACTATTCATTTATTAAGTTATTATTTTGTATGAATACTTATAGGGGCACATGTGAACTAAATTTACATTAACCACCATCTACAGCACCGGTAGTGGGTATCAATTGTCCCAAACTTAAGAGTTTGTCACTCTATATAGACAGCCATTATTTGCAACTATTAATTACGGAACTGAATGAAAACTTTAAGCAATTAAGACGTCTGGAAATGTGCGGCTATTTCAAGAAATGTCTATTAAATCATAGATATCTGGATGAATGCAAACGTGTGACATGTTTATCGCTCAAGAATTTTAGTGATAATGAGTTCAACTTTATAACAAGTATTGACACAAAGTTCCCGAATATTGTGTACTTAAATGTGGACAGGATTTACATCACGGATGAGGTGTTGGAGTCGGTGGGGAGACACCGGAAATTACAATACGTTAAACTCAAGGGTGGCTCTGATTTCAATGACCAGACATTAACAGACATTCTTGACAGTAGTGCTAACATTAAGAACATTGAAATTAACTATTTATGGTCATAAAATTGTAACTGGTATATTACTTATAATTTATGGGTTTTAAAAATAGTACTGGATACTTATTTTCTATTACGGTAGTGTAGAACATTTCAATCGCTTTGGTATTACTGTATAATTAAAAACTACTTTTAAATGAATTCCTCTATAATGAGCGCCATATTAATGATCAACGACTCGATGGCACCCGAGTCTCACCACGGACTTGGGTATTGAACTCAGTTTAGACTCGTATGAAGGGTTTAGAGATCGGTGAAGGTGTTGGTGCCCATGATTGCGGTGATCGGTGTTTTCGGTAATTGTATCACAATTGTGATTATGACCAGAATAAAGATGAGGTCCTCCGCGCACTACTACTTGGCCGCACTGGCCATCTGTGACGCCCTGTACCTCATATTCACATTCATCCTATCGTTACCTCATTATCCAAATGCTATATTTTCAATTGTACCATAATCATAAAATGTAGTATTGAATAAAATTATAGGAGTTTATTAATTTGATTAAATATTTGAACATTACAAATAATTATCTACATAGAGATTAAAATACAATATTAATAATAATTGAATAAATGAATACTATTCTTTATTAATTATTCCCATTAAATGGCTATATAAACAGCAAAAATACAAATTATCTAGAATAAGTTACTATAGAAAACAAAACTAAAATTATACTTTTTAAATACTGATTAGGCAGATAAATAAATAAATAAATAGCTGTAATTAATTCACTTCAAAAACAAAGTGTATATTTTCCACACACAAAATTTTAACAGTAAAAACAAAAACACCTTTCTCATAAATAAATTCTTATTAATCACACAAAACATCTATTCATAAATCTATACAACAATTTAATTCAGTCTTGTTTTGTTTGGCAGATATTTCGTGGTGTGTCACCCTATCCGTGGCAAAGTGTTGTGCACCCCATCCCGGGCCCGCAAACTCATTATAATCATATCATTCATTTGCATTTGCATTACTGTTCCCATAGTGTTAATATATTAATTATCAGGGTAAATCTCCCACACCGTACGGCGCTTCAAAAGTAACTGTCGGTTACATAACTAAATCACTGGCAGTAGAATTGGGTCGAAGAATTAGAGTGAATGCTATTAAGTAAGCATTTAAACCATATTTTATAGTTAATGTAATTAACTTTTTTGAATAAATTATACTTTTCAAGTTGTTCAATTAATAAATGTGATTTTATTTTTCGCTTATGATTAATAACTTATGAAACAAACTCCAGTACATTTATAACAGTTTAACATTTAAACAAATATCCGTAATATAATAATATAAATATATTAAAGGATATGTTTTAAGTGTACGAACATTAACGCTAATTGCGGTCTAAAGCAGACTGAGTGGTGACTATAATCGGTAGACTAATATGCAGGTCCACAGCGTGTGGGATGTCCAGGGTCACATGCACCACGTATTTAACACTTATGACATCACTTTTGATGGACAATGAGGCGGTTTTGGGTATCGGTACGTGTATTATGTCCGTATTGTTTGCATTACTGGCCATCTTATTGCCAATTATGTGGTCACATGCACCACGTATTTAACACTTATGACATCACTTTTGATGGACAATGAGGCGGTTTTGGGTATCGGTACGTGTATTATGTCCGTATTGTTTGCATTACTAGCCATCTTATTGCCAATTATGTGCTCAGTTAGCACTCGGTCTACGGCTTTATGGCATTCCCCGCACTGATAGACACGGATCTGGTATAGAGTAGCTCTGGGGGTCACTTCGACTGTCGATTTGTTGGCCACATAACAGAGCACTTCAAGTGTTTCGCCTGTAATTGAACTTATGTTGAGAGAGAGAGAGAGAGATTTGAACAAACCTGGTAAATAGCCTTTTCGGGCTAAACTGGTGTAAAGTGCAATCTATAGTTTATTAATACATACAAATTATCAAGTTAAATTAAGACAATTATATAATTCAATGTACTCACAGATCCAGAACCCATATTAGGGAACACCGACAGTGTTTTGTCAGCATGTCCGGCCACGAATACCTATTTAATACAATATATAATTTATTTATTTGAAATAAATTAATATATAAATGGTCTTGGTCAACCTTAAGATTGTGACTCATGGGCGAGTCAACAGTGATCCGGGTCTTGATTGTGTTCACCTCATTACTATTGGGCTCATCAATAGCCGCCTCCACGTTATAGTGGATCCAGGCGTGAGTGTCCTCGAATGACGAGGGTAATCCACTGCAAGCATATTTGTGATTGGTTAGTTTTCATAACAATTTAAAGCTAAATTAATAATTAACGGCTAAAACTTATAAAATTCAAAATTAATTAATTATACAAAAATACTCACTGATCAGGTATCTTTATGTGGAACGGAATTGTATGCACACCACGATCCAGGAGTTTTTCGTGGGCTATTTGTAATATGACATAATTATATGAAACACCATGGTCAAATCATTGTAATGTAATGTATCTATTACCATCTTTGTCCATATCAAAGGGGGTGTCCAAAAACTTTGTATTATTATGGTATATGAGAGCACCACTAGCTAATGGTACTTGCACATTCCAGTTGGCCTCACCCACACAGACCAGGCTTATCCGGACACCCGATGCCAGTACACCACCAGTTGAGGCGAATTTTAAGCTACCGGTGACCCGATCGCAGATCACGTAATGCTTTGACTCATTATCCAGGTCAATCACCATGTTTGTTACGTGCTTTGATCCCATTGTTAATTATCTAGATTAATTTTAATGCTTGATTAATAAGTAAATTATAATTTACACGCAATTTTTAGTAATTATTATAAGCATAATAATTAATTTAGAAATGAAATTGAATTATAAATGAGATAGTATACATTTTATAAAGTTAAACTAAAATAAACATTTTATTTAAAATTATAATATTAATTATAGAAATATACTTAAAACAAATACCTTTGATTGACTGAACACTTGTGTAAATATAATTTCACTTAATATTATTATTAATAATAACTTTTATTTAAATGAAATAGATTTGATAATTTTTCACCTAAAGTACTTCACTTTACAGTTATATACCATTTGATTTCAAATGAATTATAAATGATTACATGTGCATTACAATGTATAGTATCAATAATTTGTCCTTGAACATGTATCCCATTCATTGTTGTTGCGAAGTGTTATTGAATTTGTACCGTATTTCGCAAACTTATGTTTACTACGGAATATATGTTTACAAATAAGATATGATTCAATTGTTTGTTTGAATATGATCATGATAATATTGTCATATATGAGCGAGTCATATTTTTTTATTTACACCCTACATGGTGACATTTCAATTAAAATTTCATAAATAATAAATTAATTATTTATAGATATATATTTATATTTATATTATATATATATTTTTATATATTTTTAATTTTTTGTGTAGTGGAATATTTTTTAAAGAGCATGTAACAATAATCTAGGTTATAATAATATATAAATCAATCAATTTAATAAAAGTATTTTAATGTTAAAGTTAACATTGTAATTTTTATAAATACGTGGACTTATTAAACAATTTGGAGACAACTGAAAAGCATAGAAAATATAGTAATAGATTGAAAACCTTTGAATTCCCAGCTTACGATCAAACATTTTAATATATTTCTATGAATGAGCAAGGTGAGTAAGCTGGGAAATCAAAACTTTTCAACCCATTACTATATTTTCTATGCTTTTCAGTGGTTTCCAAATTGTTTAATAAGTCCACATATGAGCATTGGGCAACTATAGTAACGTTAGATATTTTTATTTTATTAAATCCAGTAATATTTTAACTTGATAAATTATAATACTACTCGCTTACTTTAAACCTATGAATATTTTATGAATAATTGACCTTTGTATAAGATTAATAATTATATATAATAAATATAAAATAGCTAACGTTACTATGGTTGTCCATAGCTCGTATTATAATCGATTATGTAAGTGAATATACTAGAATCTATTAGTACTAGAATATAGTAAAATGTAATAATAACCTTGGGCACATATTGGAGTAATAATTTTTCCAGTCTTCCCAAATTATACAATACATTAGATATTAAATTCGTGTAAATTAACGTATTTTTGCATAATTGTTTTATTGTAGATTAAGGTATAATATTAATATTATATACTGTATCTGTGTTTAACAAACGCAGCGCTAGTTATATACCTTTTTTCATGTGTTTGGCAGTGAAGCCAATGTCTGTCAGACAGTATAGCAGACAGTGTTTACAGAATATTCTAATGTTTACCAGTACTGTATGCAATGACTCACAAACATTGCAGTCGTGACCTTCAGTTGTTTACGAAATTACACTTTTATTGTATTGCGATTGCGTTAACACAATGTCATACACAATCATATATATTACTGTATATTCAGTTAATGTCACTTTTTTTTGTATATTTTCGAGTTTTTTAACTAAATATTAAATTGTTTTTACCGAGATTATTTTAATAATGTCAATAATGATTAATTTGATTAACAATTGTGTGAAATTTGCTTATATTAGAGTCTAGTGATAATTAGACTGTTTACATTATAAACATTGCATTTGTATAATTAAATCAAAGTTTATGAACTGGTTTTATATGAATACTTATATTCCTACAATATTATAAATTATTAGTAATTTAAAAAAATAATTACTATTGTCAGAATATGTATTAATGCATTGAAAATTCATTTTAATTTTATATACTCATATCTCATTCATTTAACTTGATAGGCATAACAATATTAAAATTGCAAATTATTATATAATATAAAATTCTAGACAAATCAAATCTAATCAAGGACATATCTAATTTTGCATTTTATTTTTCTGTTTCCTGTTATCATACCACAGTATTACATAATATTAAGCAATACATAGGAAAACATCAAAAATACTTTAAATACGTAAATTTTATTAAATAACAAGTACATAATTTTATGTACTCATACCTTATTCATTTAACTTGATAGGCATAACAATCTCTGAATAATAAACTTAAATATTTTATCTTAAAACTACAGTATGTGTCATATTATTTACTAAGCTTGTACTAATTTTGAATCATTAATAATGAATATTTTTATAAAATAAAATAAATTCACTTGATGAGATTTTTACAAATAAAAATTATTACTAATAGATTACTTGTAAACTATTAACGTTAATAAAATTTTTCGTTCATTCAGTACGTACACATAAATACATATAAATACACATAAAAACACATAATAAACCCAATAATTTTTCATTCCTATTAATAAGTGTTATTAACGTATTATTAGTATATAACTTATGAAACAAACTCCAATACATTTAAATCAGTTTAACATTTAAACAAATATCCGTAATATAATAATATAAATATATTAAAGGATATGTTTTAAGTGTACGAACATTAACGCTAATTGCGGTCTAAAGCAGACTGAGTGGTGACTATAATCGGTAGACTAATATGCAGGTCCACAGCGTGTGGGATGTCCAGGGTCACATGCACCACGTATTTAACACTTGCCATCTTATTGCCAATTATGGGCTCAGTTAGCACTCGGTCTACGGCTTTATGGCATTCCCCGGACTGGTAGACACGGGTCTGGTATAGAATAGCTCTGGGGGTCACTTCGACTGTCGATTTGTTGGCCACATAACAGAGCACTTCAAGTGTCTCGCCTGTAATGAACTTATGTTGAGAGAGAGAGAGAGAGAGATTTGAACAAACCTGGTAAATAGCCTTTTCGGGCTAAACTGGTGTAAAGTGCAATCTATAGTTTATTAATACATACAAATTATCAAGCTAAATTAAGGCAATTATATAATTCTATGTACTCACAGATCCAGAACCCATATTAGGGAACAGCGACAGTGTTTTGTCAGCATGTCCGGCCACGAATACCTATTTAATACAATAAGTTATATAATTCATTTATTTGTTTGTAATAAATTATTGTAAAAATGGTCTTGGTCAACCTTAAGATTGTGACTCATGGGCGAGTCAACAGTGATCCGGGTCTTGATTGTGTTCACCTCATCACTATCGGGCTCATCAATTGGTCACATGCACCACGTATTTAACACTTATGACATCACTTTTGATGGACAGTGAGGCTGTTTTGGGTATCGGCACGTGTATTATGTCCGTATTGTTTGCATTACTGGCCATCTTATTGCCAATTATGGGCTCAGTTAGCACTCGGTCTACGGCTTTATGGCATTCCCCGGACTGGTAGACACGGGTCTGGTATAGAATAGCTCTGGGGGTCACTTCGACTGTCGATTTGTTGGTCACATAACAGAGCACTTCAAGTGTCTCGCCTGTAATGAACTTATGTTGAGAGAGAGAGAGAGAGAGAGAGAGATTTGAACAAACCTGGTAAATAGCCTTTTCGGGCTAAACTGGTGTAAAGTGCAATCTATAGTTTATTAAACATACAAATTATCAAGCTAAATTAAGGCAATTATATAATTCTATGTACTCACAGATCCAGACCCCATATTAGGGAACAGCGACAGTGTTTTGTCAGCATGTCCGGCCACGAATACCTATTTAATACAATAAGTTATATAATTTATTTATTTGTTTGTAATAAATTATTGTAAAAATGGTCTTGGTCAACCTTAAGATTGTGACTCATGGGCGAGTCAACAGTGATCCGGGTCTTGATTGTGTTCACCTCATCACTATCGGGCTCATCAATAGCCGCCTCCACATTATAGTGGATCCAGGCGTGAGTGTCCTCGAATGACGAGGGTAATCCACTGCAAGCATATTTGTGATTGGTTAGTTTTCATAACAATATAAAAGCTAATTTAGATTTTATTAAATTAATAATAACGACTAAAATTCAAAATAAATTAATTATACAAAAATACTCGCTCATCAGGGATCTTTATGTCGAAAGGAATTGTATGCACACCACGATCCAGGTGTTTTTCGAGAGCTATTCGTGATATGACATAATTATATGAAACACCATGGTCACATCATTGTAATGTAATGTATCTATTACCATTTTTGTCCATATCAAAGGGGGCGTCCAAAAACTTTCTATTATTACGGTACATGAGAGCACCATTAGCTAATGCTACATGCTCAGTCCAGTTGGCCTCACCCATACAGACCAGGCTTATCCGGACACCCGATGCCAGTACACCACCAGTTGAGGCGAATTTTAAGCTACCGGTAACCCGATCGCCGACCACGTAATGCTTGGACTCATTATCCAGGTCAATTTCCATGTTTGTTACATGCTTTGACTCATCCAGGTCAATCTCCATGATTGTTACCTGCTCTGATTCGGTTGTTAATTATCTAGATTAATTTAAATGCTTGATTAATAAGTAAATTATAATTTACACGCAATTTTAGTAATTATTATAAACATAATAATTAATTTAGAAATGAAATTGAATTATAAATGCGATATACTGTACATATTTATGAAGTCATACTAAAATAAACATTTTATTTAAAATTATAATATTAATTATAGAAATATACTTAAAACAAATACCTTTGATTGACTGAACACTTGTGTAAATATAATTTCACTTAATATTATTATTAATAATAACTTNTGCGATATACTGTACATATTTATGAAGTCATACTAAAATAAACATTTTATTTAAAATTATAATATTAATTATAGAAATATACTTAAAACAAATACCTTTGATTGACTGAACACTTGTGTAAATATAATTTCACTTAATATTATTATTAATAATAACTTTTATTTAAATGAAATAGATTTGATAATTTTTCACTTAAAGTACTTCACTTTATATACCATTTGATTTGCAAATGAATTATAAATGGTTACGTAATTAATATTTACAAATTGAATGGCATTTTAAATATCTATAAACAGGAAATTACTTTTAAAGTGCTTACCAATTATGAATAGAGCTCACAAATATTGATTTCTATTAATAGGGTATGTCACATTAAATTAATAGTCTACGTGCAATTATACCGATATACATGCACAATTTGGTAGACGTATGTAAAATTACATTGTATACCGTATTACAGTATTAATGATTTTAGTATTGGTTTTGTTTTATACGTATTTAACAAACGCAGCGCTAGTTATATAACTTTTTTCATGTGTTCGGCAGTGAAGTCAATGTCTGTCAGACAGTATAGCAGACAGTGTTTACAGAATATTCTACAGTACAGTAGTGTTTACCAGCACTTATGCCATACAGTGTATATGCAATCACAGGTAAGGCACATTAGAGTATAGGGAGGTTAGAGAGAGTGAGGAGAGTGTGCCGGGAGAGCAGCCTTTACTGTATTATTTTGTTGAGCTCACTGTTAAAAAGTCAATTCATAGGCACAAACAACATCTCATTTACTAAAACATTACATATCTTTAAAATTCAACATAAAAACGACATATATTTTATAAGTTTAGTTATAAATTAATAAATAAATCTCCCGTTACTTATTTGATAAAACTTATACTTAAAAATGATACCTTGAGCACTATATAAGAGATGTCACCCACTATACCGTACATTGTCTGTGCATTGAGTGTGCACTGCATTCACAGACTCGTAGACTGTAAACAACACAACACACAAAAAACTGTTAAAACTTTTTGCTAACTAACAATATAATTGTCGTTACTAACCGGCTTGTTATTAACAGTATAACCACAGTTTTTATCGCAAATTATATTAATACCCATTATTGTATTATCATAAATACGTGAATAATAAATATATAACTACCCGTCCATTAGGGACGTGTAAATAAAATTTGTAATAATATTGGCAAACAAAGTATTTGAACAATTATTGCCTGTATACCGGTATACAAATTGTTATTATTATATACTGTATCTGTATACTATCCAATTGCTATAGATACAAGGTGATTTGCACAGGTATGGATCGATCACACATATCAAAGTTGGACATTAGCCTGGACAATAAGAAACAACGCTATCTGGCCGGCGATAAAGTGTCCGGCTCATTGCAATTGACAATACTAGGGCCGGAAAGTGCGCCCTACCCGCGCATAGGGCTCGTATGTGCGGCCGAATCCAAATGGGTTGAGAGCGCCGGCACTTACTTCCACTGCGAGGGACTGGAGTACAAGGATCAGCGGACTTGCGTTGATTTGGCCTACAAAATGCCCGACCAATGTATGTCCGCGTAATATTAGTTTGCTAGAGTATTTTATTTTTTAATTATATTAAACACTCACTTATAATACAAATATATTACACCAAGGTCTGTATGATATATATATGTTACTAAACACTTGAATTTAATTTATATGATTAAATCCACATTTTGTATTAATAAATAGATTCTGGCAAGTGCATGGGCCCGGGTGATCATGTCATACCATTTGAGTTTACGTTGCCGGATGAGTATGAACAATTATATTGACTAACATTACGTTACCTTGTTGATAATAATTGTTTCCCAATTTTTTTATAGGGCTATTCCCGCGTCATTTGAAAGCCCATACGGATCGATACACTATTATATTACTGCTAACATTGACCAGGCGCATAGGATTTCTTATAAATTTACGGTGGACTCACCTATGCAAACTAATTTTAAAGTAATTCTATTGTTTTTTTTATTATTATTTTAACGGGAGAGACTAGACAATTTTCAATTGATTATTATATGACCAAGGTCTCAGTGGGCGGCACCGTTGAGAAGGTGTTTTCCTTTCCCAGCATTGGATCTGGAATTGTATGTTAATTGCATTGATTTTATGCTGCATTTCATATAATTATTATAAATCATTAGATGAGACTCCATGCTAGTTTGGTTAAAAAAGGATTTGCTCCGGGTATGTATATAACACGAATTCCAGTCAATTGTGTACCTAAAACTAAATGATTGCTTGCCAAATGACCAAGGTGACACCATTGCGGTCCATTGTACAGTCGAGAATCATTCGACAGTAGACGCCACCCCTCGGGTCACACTATACGAGACTCAGGTGTATATGTGTGGCGAACGGCATAAGTCACTGCAGGCGGCCATAACGGGACCGGAAATGGGCCACACAGTCGGCCAACAAACCTGTGACACGCAAAGTGTGTTCGTCGCCATTCCCACCACCGCCTCCCTGTCCATCAGGAGTTGGATCGTAAGCGTTAAATACCTGATACACGTGACCCTCGATATACCGTACGCTCACGACTTGCACGTAAATCTGCCGGTTATTGTGGTGAATAAGGAGGCGCTTCTTGAACTGGACACACCTATTGTTAATAGCAGCAAGTAGGATTATCTCATAGGCATTTAATGCCCGATATTCCATATATTACTAGATATTGCATGTTATACCTTATATGCATATACTAGTTATATCATTAAGGTGATGGGACCATAATTAATATTACCGTAAATATATTTTATTTAGATTGTATCGTGACTTTAATTAACAATATTTGTTGCTTAATTATTTATCTAAATTATTGTTTTGGAAGTTAATGCAATAAATTTTATTCCAAAATATCGGTACATTAATTTTCATACAGTATTGATTTATTAATTAGTTATTAGTTTATCAATACTAATTAAAATTCAAGTTATAAAATATAATATTGTTGAGTTTCCAAATAAATTAATTTAAACTCTGATTTCTACTCATTTGAAAATATTAACATTGCAACTTGTAGATATTTATAGAATATAAAATTCCAGACAAATCAAATCTATTCAAGGACATATCTATTTTTGGATTATTTTATTTTCCTGTTTACTGTTATCATACTACAGTACAGTACAGTATTACATAATATTAAGCACTACATAGGAAAACATCAAAAATACTTTAATTGCGTAAATGTTATTAAATAACAAATACATTAACATTAACTTTATATAAACATGCATAATAAAAATTATTGTATTAAACGTTAATTTATAATTGATAAATTTAATGATAAATATTATTATAGTATTCGAGTAAATATATAATTTATTATATATAACAAAAAAAATAAACATTTTATTTTCAAACTTCATAATATAGTCTATCATATTATCTGAAATATAAATTTTCGAGGTTAATTAAAATTAATTCAAAGTAATTATTATACTAACTTGTAAGCACTAGTTAGTATTATACTGTACCACAAATACAATTGTTATTATGTACAGTAATTAATAAATATCAGTGCAATAAATACCACTGATTTATCTTTATAATTTTAACATTTTACTGTTTATTTTTGTTGAATAAATAGGTTTATGCTAGAAAAACATATAAATATAAATAAAATTAATACTAACTTACAATCGCTTTGGTTCCACCTTGTGCATGACCAATTCATAAATATGTGCCTCACTTTATACCGGCATGCTGATGGAGTATCATCAAGTTATTTTTGTATTGATCAGCCTCACTTATAACGGCATGGGGGTGGTCGCGCGGGAATACGGTAATGGGAACAATACGCTCATTTTTGTCCGGTAGGGGCAAAGCCTTTTTGGGCGCCTTTATGGACAGTATGCCCTTCGCATCCAAACTGGACACCACTTTTTCAGGATCGCAACCATCGGGCAATACATACCTACAGTATATATCCAATAAGTTAATCAGTGGATAGATAGGTAACTTAATAAACTTAATAAACTCCCACTCCCTGACCCCCTCTCTACATACCGGCGCGTAAATTCTCGTTGAATCCATCCGTGACTGTCGGTGCGCTCCTCGTGCTTGCCGTGTATGACGAGCTGATGGTCGACCACTTTGACGGTAATCTCTTCCGGCGTGAAGTGTTGACAGGCGAGTCGTACGGCGAACCGGTCGCCGGCGTTCACCACTTGCGACCCACCGGTGCCGCTACGGAGACCCCCGGCCGCCAACATCTCGTTCACGTCGAGCCCGAAGTGTTGTCCGCTTAGGTTCTCCGG